ATTTTCGAAATTCTCAAAAATATATTTTTCCAGATTTCAAAAAATTTTCAATCTTTTTTAATCTTTTTTAAAAATTTTATGTTTCGGTACGAGAAGTGCCAGCAATTTGCCTTAAGGCACGATGCCATGCACCACTAGTTTATTTGTATTAATTTATGAAAACTACTATTTGACTGACTTATTATTGAAAAGGGCGGCAATCTGGAGACCGCCCGGGCGGCAAAAGTTCTAGGTACGCCACTGTATATATATATAATATATATATATATAATATATATATAATATAATATATATTATATATAATAGGTGTTAAGCTGTCGTTGTGTAATTTCAACAAATAATAGATGCAGCTTACCACGAACATTTGTCGAATTCAGAGCATTTTTATGCCGCCAAAATGTAAATTCCGAATACAGCCTTTGAAAGGTACAGGAAATCCCGTTACTGAGCCAAAGGGTAATTCTGATAAATCAGGCAGCCCTCCTAAAATAAATTGTTATGAAATAAATTGACACTTTAGTAAACGATAGTAATGTTATTGAACTACATATGTTTTATGTGCTGATCGATTTTAGCTTAATTTGCTTACTTTATCATTATATGCATTTGTTCGAGATCTTACCTACAAATATTTTATTCGTTGGATCATTTATATAAACAAAATTCTGATCTGTGTAAGGCACGGTTCCACTATTTGCTAAACCTTCCGTCCAAAGGCTTATTCTTCTTCCGTATCTGGTGATTCGAATAGAATGCCACTCTGCGTTTGAAAGAACTCTGCCACTTCGAACAGTTGATTCTTTAGAACCTGAGACTAATGCATAAGATTAATAATCACATCACTTACAGCTACTCTATTACAAAATGTATACCTTTTATTCGTAGCTCCAGTACTCCGCCCTCTAAGCTTAAGCAAAAGTAACCCTTGTCAGCATCACCACTGAATAAAATTAATCCTCTTTCAGACAATGGCCGAATATCTAGTCGTAATATATATTGAGGTCCTAATATTGGTCCATTGGGCAGTATTAAATAGGATCGAATTCCAGAAAAAAGCGAATCAGAAATATTCTGTACTGAAATAATTAATTACGTTATTTAATATACATCTCATTGTAATAATCACATGCATACAGGATTAAAACGATGAGGTGATGTTATACGTTGCACACAAAATTTATAAAAGTTCCAAAAATTGTTTTGACTGTTCTATTTTAATTTTCAAAATTTTTATATTTTAAATGCATAGATTTTGTTCATATATTATATTATCAATTTAATATAATTTGTGATAGAATTATATGTTAAGGGGGTATTGTAGCCTAGAAGATTAAGAAATAGATTTAACAATCAATTATCACTATTCAAGAATTTGTGTACGAGAGGATTTTTTAAAATTATAAATTATTTTCGGAGATATAGATATTTGGGCACGATAATACCCTCTGTTTCTTTCCTCTGCGAGGCTTTGAACGCGATTTTCTCCAAACTGTTTTTTTGACACGATACTACGATTGCTAAACTTTGATTACTGGACTGATTTACTTTAAATTAGAGTTTTTTATAGACTTCATTTCAGTATGAACAACGCTTATCCCCGTTTTTCGATTTTTACTATTTAAAAAAAAAATCAAAAGTCGGTATATTGTGATATTTTTATTTTGTCCGTATTTTCGTATTTCATCCGGTTGATAACGTAGAAATTTTTGAGACCCATTTGAGATAATACCTGCTAGAATTAAATCATTTTTACTGTTTTTAATTTTAATTTTCTTCTGTATTCTTAAATAAAACATTACACAAAAACTTATAAGAAAATGGGTAGTGAAAATATTGTTTGCCTCTGGAGTTAAAAAACTCCTTTAAAGTTAAAAATAAATGATTTCGAAAGCAAAGTATTAAATGAAAACTCACTGTCAATAGTATTCATCAAATTAAATTAAATTAAATTGAATGAAACGATCTTCCATTTCAGGCAATTACCTTTATCACATTTTGCTCCGTGTCTTCCCCAAGGGCAATCGCAATCAAATTCACCTCTGCTTTTAGCTATGCAATGTGCCTCTGGATGACAATTAGCTATTTCGCAAGGGTCTTTTCCACTGAGCAATCCGGGCCCGCCCTTCCGGGGACACACAAGCACGTCCGAGTTGCTCCGTGCTCTATGCAAGCGCCAGCAGAATCTGAACACGCTTGAGAATTGCATTCAGAGACCATACACCTGGATACACCTCTGCCGTGCGATAATCGAGTATCCTAGTAAAATGATTTAGGATAAAACTAGTGGTGCAAGACATCATGACTTTAGGAAAATTGCAGGAACTTCCCGTACCGAAAATTATTTTTTTAAAAACTTTAAAATATTTTAAAAGCTTTGCAAAATTTACACTTTTGAGAATTTTTTAAATTTAGGTTTTGAAAATTGACTTTATTGAAACTATGAATTCTCATATTTAGAAAATGTTTGAAAATTTTAACTTATGTTCAAAGCAGTCGCGGTGCGTAGCTGCTTATCGAAGCGCATAAGCGCCGCGTCGCGCTTACGGATAAAAATTGGTACGGAACCTATAGAATGTAAACAAAATTTGTACTTATTATTGAAACCTCTATAAAATATCTAATAATTTGATTGCATATGTCTAATAATAATTTTTGACCTGCAGTTTTTTTTTTTAATTTGTTTTATTGAATCTCGACAACCGCAGAAAAAACTATAAAAATTCTTTAAAAAAATATCATTAATTAATGCTAATCTGAATGGAATCGAAATCTGGATTTTGAAAACATGGCAGATTCATCACAGCATGTATATTACATAGACACATAATTCGATTTCTTTATTTTCTATTTTAATAACTTACCCTGCGGATAGTAAAATAGATAAAAATTGGTTATGTTATACTATAATAATAATAATATCTTAGAATTTAGGGTAAAGTAAGAACATAACTAAGACTATATAATTCCCAATGCAAAAACTATTTTTTTACTTTTACTCAAAATTTCTTATAAAAAAATTTAAAATTAAAAAATTGATTCAGACATTTGTTACAGGACACATTGCTATTATATTACATGTGTACTATAATGTAGTTTATTTACATCAATTGTAGTTTGTTACTTAAATAAATCTTACTTGAACAATCTGAGGTGTCGATTTTCCACTTCTTAGTTCTACGTCGTAAATGCAACCAATAAATCCATCATGTAATGGCAAATCATGAGGCAAAGGTGTAAAGTGACGAGAAACGTGCCCACCTAAATATTCGTAAATATTTTTTAATATTAATTTCTTTCTTTATCTAGTTGCAGGAAAGTATTTAATATAATAACTTTTGTTTATTTGTATAAATTTCAGTATATATTTAATTCTGTTAGTTCAAATTGATGACCAGTTTTGTCGTTGAATTCGTATTTTTAATATTTCTTTAATATTGCTATTATAATATCATGTTATAGGGTATATTATTGCATGAAAGTATTTTATTTATTCTATAAATTGTATATTGAAATATGAATAATATATGCGAATTATATTTTTTACCTATATATAGAAATGGTTCGACGTCCAATTTCTGCAAATGTCCAGGTGACCTGCCTGTTACATTGGCAACACCTTCAACCCAGAGCCACGCTCTTCTACCTTGTCTTCCAGTTTTGATAACATGTGGACTACCATCAGGGAGTGGAGAAATCGCACGTGGTGTAAAAAATTCGTCTGGCACCTTTAGTGAAGGTAAGTCAATAAATAGTAAGTATTCCATTAAAAATATGTAAAAAAGCACGCTAAAATATATTGATTAATTGTTTATTTTGTAAGAGTCTGAAATTTATTATTCATTTTATTTACTATAATTGAGCTTTATGGCTTGTTTTGCAAGAATGCAAGACAACTTTTACATTCTTATGATCAAAACCGCTAAGTTATATTGTTACTGCGAAAGTTTATTTTTATTAGTTAGTTTTTCATTAGTCCTCATTAATTTTCATAGCTTGAGAGAAGAACAACTCACCAAATAAACAGAAAGGCAAAAAACTTGAATTTGCAATTTTCTTTATTTTGCGTGCATTATTGTAATAAAAGCTTTTCTTCGAGAAAGTGGTATATGTACATCATCACGTTTGAGTAAATCTTGCTATATCATTATTATAATAATGTATGATAAGTATTAAGAGATAAGTCATAATTTTGGTATGTTTGTAATTATTATTACTTTTAGGCAAACATTAAAAAATTTCTTTAAATACTAACCGGAACCTAAATTCCAAGTGAGCATAATATATCCCTTTACATAACTTATAGCCAGATGGTCACTTCCTTGATCATGCACTCCATTTTGACCCATAAATGCTATCAAGGAAATTTGCTCTTGAGTTTTTGGAACTATTTTCAAATGCATTTCCATACTATATGTAACTGGTCCATTCATAGGATACACCACATAAGACGACAACCCATTTATTGTAGATGCAAAAGATGGTTGAGCTATTTCCAAGTCTAATGGGTAAAGAAAAAAAGTGATTTATCATTAATATTTATTTTTTAAGAAGTGTAACATAAATTTGATATTACTGACTGTGTTCGCAAAATTGTCCATGTTTTCCAAAGGGGCATAAACATATGAATCCGCTGCCAGGAAATGGAGCGCAGGTAGCGCCATACAAACATGGATTATTGGAACAAATTGATTTTTCGCAAGCTCTTCCTGTAAATCTACAAATTAATATAAAATACAGAAATCTTTCTAAATTCATGGAAATCTGTAAATTGGAAGATAAAGATGAAACATAACACTTAATTGTTGAATAATTTTGCACACTATACCTACTGGTAAATAAATTACAATACACAAATTTACCCATTTTTGCATTCGCAATACCAGGCTTCTCCGTTCTGATGGCAAATGGCGCCATTGAGACAAGGACTCGATAAACAAGCAAAGGAAGAGCATTCGGCCACTTCGGACCCCTTGATAGCGTTCTCGAAAATTGACGCGTTCTGATCACCCACCTTAATTAAACAAAAACAATATATCTTGTGAATTCAGAATACATGCTTCAATTCGAAATTATATCTATATATTTTATATTTTTTAGAATGCAGTAACTGTTTATAACATTTTTTAAATTAGTAATTTAATAAAGTAATATTAAAGTTATTTGTGTTAGCAGTTATTAATTTCTAACGTATAATTGCTAATTTTATCAGCAAAAATAATAATATAATTGCTATTACCAAAGTAGCCCTAATGCCCAATGCATTTCGAACTTGTTTATATGTCAAATAAAATTAAACAGTTTTGGATATTAATTTATGAAACCTTAAAACATAAGCGGCAAAATAAAATTTATATTCAAAATATGAAATTCCATAAAATTAACTAGTTGGTATTGGTAATTTGCCTTGAGGCGAGTTACATGAACTTCTTGATTTGTGTAAATAATCGACTTAATCCATGATAGATAAATTAATTTATGAGTAGTTAAAAGTATTCGAATTGGATTTATTACACATTATTGAAAATCGAACACGTCAACCCGGTCGGAGTATTTTTTAAAAGCAAATTTTCAAAAATCAATAATTTTTATAATTGAGCCAGTTTTTTTGTAGGACCCTAATTGTTTAGCATGTTTATTAAGACCAAATAGTCTATCGTTATACCAAGTAAATCGTCTAATTTTAATTTTAACAAATGTCAAAAGAACTACTCATTTTCTCAAACTTTGATAAATTTTTAAAATTAAACTACTTGTCGTAAGGCCGTAATATTTCAGTAGGTTCTATAAGACCATGATATACATCGCCAAAGATAGTTTCATGAAAATCTGCTTAAATTTTTTTTCAGCAGTTAATTACAAGAAAACGACTCGGTAGATTTTCACCTAAAACTAATCAGTATCATTCCCAAATAATATCTTTGGAACAGTTTTTGATTTTTTAAAATCAAGTCGGTAGTATAAGCTTAAATGTGGACGAAAAGTTTAACACTTTTTTTCAAATTACAAGGAAACGGCTCGGCCGATCGTCGCACAATAGTCAAAACAATAGTCCTCATTGAGATACATCAAATGGCTTCTAAATTTTTGAAATCGGTCGAGCCGTTTTTGAGAAAACGTCGATTTATGCAAAAAATCTGTTCACATACACGCACACACATACACATTTACAAACATTCTTTTTCCAAATTTGGTCTCATTCGATTCAGAATGGCTTGAAACGTCGAGAAAACATAAAATTAGCGAATCGGATTTTTTGATGAAAACAGAAACTTCTTCGGGAAGTTAAAAAATAAATAAAAATATATAATTTTGATTAATTGAAAAAAATGTTAATTCACCCCCATTCCAAATATCTAACCTTTAGACCGCGCATGCAACCAACAAAACCTTGTCGTTTATTGGTATCTGGTTTCTGATTGGATTGCGGTAATCCTCCCAAATGCAACCAAGTTTTGCTGGACCACGGCAAACCAAGGAATGATTTGAATAGCTGATCGCCACTCATTGTTAGAGTATCATTAATTCGAAGTGAAGCATTGCAGTGATTATGTTCTGGATTGAAGACCAAGCTGAAAAAAATAATATAAATAATTTTTAAATTCGTTCACAAATGTATTAAATTCAAAGGCGGAATGAAAATAGGACAGTGTATAAGACAAGCGAACAAGCATAGGGTGTTAAGCCTAAGGCATACAACTATGGGAATTAGCTTCCAGATTAAACGTCTTAAAATTTAAAGATATTGAAATACAATATTAAATGATATTAGTACTGTAAACGATGATATACAAACTCATTCAGACAAGTACAAAATCTGCATCAAGGATTATCTAAGCTCATTTGCAATAAAACTCCGATAGAATACTACCAGAGACAGAAACGGTCTATTCTACATTAATCTTCAACCAGTAATTAAGACCTTTGCCTAATCACCGTCAGTTGTCAGATTATTTTGTGCTTTTATTTTTATTCATAAAGGTTCACTACTTGCTCTTTGCGGATAGTTGAAATGCTGAAATAATTATTATTTGATAAAAAAAAATCATATTACACAACTTACCTTGCTCTTATACCCATTTCATTTCCATCGTTAACAGGAGCTCTCGTTTCTCCAAGAACCATTGTTTGCACTCCACAGCTGAATTCGAATTTTAATAGACCTTCTTTCAAATAAACAGTCATATAAGCATCGTCACCAACAGTAGCATGCAATAAAACTCCATCAGGAGCTAAAGTACGGGCCTGTACTTTCACATCGATACTTGGATTTGGGCCGTACAGGACCGAATCGGGCAAACGATGTGTCAAAAACGAAGTACCACCAAAAGCGGCTGTCGCAATATTTATTGGTCTTGAGCAGGTGCTGCCGTGGTATTTAAATGTACAAATGCACTGAAATAAAAGAAATAATTTATATGATAATAATTAATGTAATTGCAAAAGTTAATGCAATTTTAGTCAGAATTGAAACAATTACAATGAAAGCGGTCTATATGAGTTGTATTATAATTACCATTAGACTAAAACCGTAATTACGAATATTATAAAGAATTGTAATGAACACCAATATTGGCTAAAGGTAAATAACTGGTACGATATTGAGCTTTTCCACCTATAACTAATGCCATAAAAAAGAAAACTAACAAACGATGAGTAGTTGAATAACAAATAATATTTTTTCACATATTACACAAATATAAAAAACATTCAGGAAAAATGTAAGGAAAATTAAATTCGTAGGGTGTTGAGAGGAGCAGATTACACACATAGATGAGATACTTATAAGCTTTTTTTTTATAGCTGGTATAAATTTGGAAAAAACTTCAAAATATTTAGCATTTTTAAGAAAACTGTAATCTTTATTCTTATTACTATACGCATGAAATGCATAGATTTAACCTTTACCTTTGCTCCCTCAGAAGTTGTTATACAAGTACCACCATTTTCGCAGAATAAATTTTTGCACTCGTTACCATATACAACCGTTGCTGTAGAAGTCGTCAAATCCAAATATGATGTAAAAGTTGAACTGATAGTTGACGAACTCGTCCAGGGCATTGTTGTGTCTGATTCGGTTGATGTCTGCCCTGGTCTCGCATCGGGTTCATCGGTGAAAAAATGAGATATATCAGTGACATTTAACAACCCTGAAGGAGTAGTGATAGTACTATCAGTTATTTCAGATGAAGTTGAAATAATAGTCGTAGTTTGAGGATCACTTGGCGAGAACGTAATTGTTGTAAATTCCGTCGTATGTTCCGTCGATTTATTAATTACTGACGATTGTGGTGCAAAAGTAGTTGGAAATATTATATTCGTAAAATCTTCCGTTGTGGTAGAAATTTCTTCGATTGTTCTTGGTTCGACAGTATCTTGTGCTTCATTGATTTTTGTAGTGATATCAAACATATGGGTAGTGAGCTCTGTGCTAGTGGGTTCCGATGTAAAAGCTATTATTGTGGTTGGTATCTCTGTGGTCGGAATTTCTGTTGTTGTTGATAAAGATGTTGTTTCTATGATCGTAGTAGTTTCAGTTGTCGTAAAAGTTATAATTTCGGTAGTGGTTGTAGTTAAATTTGGCCGAACATAAGAACAATCCAATAAACCATAAGGCAGTTCTAAACATTCGCATAGAAGACCTGTAAATAAAGCCATGTGTGTATTAATAACTATATACTATTAGTTAAATCTGAGTTAAGCTTTGTGTTTAGAAATATAACATCTTTATATTTCTTGAAAGCTATGTTAGTGAGGAAGTACAATAAATATTTCTACGAATTCCCGAAAATCTGATTATGATAATTTCAAAAATATCTGTGGTTTCGCACGCACAATAAAAGCTATATCATTTCTTTTATATTTCCATATTGTATCCACATATAACATATAATTTGCCGAACTCCTTTCAGTCCATTAGCTATGAAATATGTATTTCGAAAAACAAAATAACGAAAAGTGAATAAAGTAAAAATGAATGCATAATAGAAAAAGTTAAAAGTTATAATTTAAAATTAATTTATTTATAAACCATGTTTTTTGAGTAGTTTTATGTTGTATTTGTTCGCAATGATGTTTTGTATTGTTTATTATAGTATTAAACTATTATAATGACCAAAAACGAAATAGAAAACATACTAGCTCCCAAAACGTGATAGATGCATGTCAGTGGCGTAACTATAGGGTGGCGTGGGTGGCAAAATGCCACGGGCCCCCGACCTAAGGGGGCCCCGACCCAGGAAATCGAGATTCGGAAATACCTTATAACATTGTACATAAATTTTATTTCATTTGAAACTTATATTTTTATTTTTTAAGTTTAAAGTCGGAGTTAATTATTCAACCAAACTTGCATCGAACTTACATTCGGCCGAATATTTAGTTAGTTAAAACCAAAGGAGTCGCCGCCTCACAGCGAAAGTATTTTAAGTGTTTTATCTTTTATGCGATAACGAGCTGCGATGGATCTGCATCGGAAAATCTTTAGTTTATATAATATATCAAGAATGAATTAATGAATTTATTATTGTATATATAATAATTTATACTTTATCGAATTTTAAGATAAAAAACAAACACGTGAAGAACTCTTTTCACAGCATCGACAGCAGGCCTTCGCGGGGCCTCGTATCAAAATTTGTTTCGGGGCCCCCTTAAGAGGAAATTTTTTATCACAAAATATAAAAATACATAAAATTAGAAGAATAGTTATTTATCATTCTAATTATTTTTCTATCTAATTTTCTATAATTTTCCGAGCTTTTCATAAATGATCCAGATAAAAATATTCTCCCCTTATTCGAAAAACTGAATTATTAAGTGATCTTTAGATTCTAAAGTTTCTGTCCCTAGGAACAATAGTGACAGGTCTGATAGACATTTATGTCCTAAAGTGTTTACGTATTTTTTCTTAGTTTTAATTTTGAATTTCGCCGTATTAGTGAAGCACATACAAAGTTTTAAAATCTTTTCAAAATATTTTGCAGCAGAAATAAATTCTTTTAAAGCATTAGCTTACAAGTTAAAGTTCAATACCGCTCGATAACTACGTCCAAGTCATTTATTTTTTGTATAAATCGTTAGTTTGCTTTAGATATTTCTTACGCTCGATGGGCCTCCCTGGCCCGTGGCCCTGTTTCAAGCCATTCTGAATCGAATGAGACCAAATTTGTAAAAAGTATATATGTGTTTGTGGGTGCGTGTGTGTGAACAGATTTTTTGAGAAATTTTTGCAGAAAAATGAAAAAATTTCCGTTCAAGTTTTAGTCCGCAAATGTTCGAAAGATATTGGTTGGGAATCGTGCTGATTAGTTTTTGGTAAAGATCGGCCGGGCCGTTTACTTGTAATAAAGTTTAAAAAGAAAAATTACGACGATTTTTTTTTTTTTGACGGTCATATTCATAGTTTTGTGGATCATACTAAAAATATTACGGACCTACGACAAGTCGTTTAATTTTAAAAATTCTTCAAAGTTTGCAAAAATTAGTATCGTTCTTTTGGCATTTGTCAAAATTAGACTTTTGATCGACGTTTTCTCAAAAATGCCTGAATCGTTTTCAGAAATGTATAAGCTTTTAGAGAAAACGTGTTCGTTCGTTTTCAATTATGTATAATAAATCCACTTGGAATACTTTTAATTACTCATAAATTAATTTATATTTTATTGATTAAGTCGATTAATTATATATATCGTGACGTTCATGTAACTTGCCGCAAGGCAAAATACCAATACCAACTAGTTAAATCATAAATTGTCATGAAGATCGAACGTCACTACTTAATCAATAAAATAAAGAAAATCAATAAAACAAGAAATTGTTAATGGAAGATTATGTAATAATTAAATTTAAGATTTAAAATTTTGTTTATTAAAAAAATACGTTTTTTAGTTTCCATTTATTCTAACGTTGAATATATTCACTAATATTTCATGTTTGATTTTCAATAAAAATTAAGTTTTGTGTATTTTTTGTTATTTTTATATTATTACAACTAAATTATAATTATACCTCTAAATCAATACTTGACTTTTCTGCCTTTTGTATAATTTTATAATTTAAAGCCATAAAATATAAATTAATCGAAGTTGGTTTGCTAATTGTGATAAAATTCATTAAAAATTGTTTTAGCCAGTAGAAAAACAGCGTGTAAATGACTATTCGCGTTTATTAAACAAAATTAGATAAATTAAAAATTGAGTACCACGATAGGGCCCCATCGAAAGACTTTGCCACGGGCCCCGGAGGGTCTAGTTACGCCACTGATGCATGTACCTACTTATTTCGAAAAAGAAATATTTTTGCATTTTTTGAACTTTCCGTAGTTGGATATATTTTTCGAAACTTAAGTATGAACTAAGTTAGGAATATTGAAATGCAAGTTTATCGTCGTTATTCTTGACCACAAGACTAGACAAGACAATTCATATTCATATGCTTTGCGTTTTTAAAAAACTTGCATCTTAGATGTTGTAGTATATATATACTTCATGATTTTTAATATTTCTTACGATTACGACAAAATTGTTCGGAAATAATGGGATATTGCATATACATTTTTAATTATATCACTACCTAATGATAGATAGTCGAGTGATATCCTAGACAATAATAGAATATAATATATTTATAATGAATGATTAATCAGGTTTGGTGTGAAAATAAGTCACCATTGGTTGTCAAAATGGCGATTTTTGATAAAATCCAAAAATATTATCAAATACCAAGACATTTAGAATGTTTTGATATTTTTGTCGTAACTTCACGATATGTGTAAATAATGAATTGGGGCATAGATATTTAGGTTTAAGTGCTTAAATTCGCATAATGATTAGTTATCTAATAGTAAATAATAATAAAAATCAGAATGCAAGTTTAAAATTATTTTCTCTGAACTCACCAGATATGCCTTGTGGACAGGAGCATGTAAAACCATCTACTCCATCTATGCAGGTCCCTCCATTAATGCACCGAGGACCCAGTTGACATTCGTCATATTTTTGGTCGCATTTTTCGCCATGGTAATCAGGTACACAATAACAACGCGGATATCCGAATTCCATGAGACACAATGATCCATTGGAACATGGATTATCAGAACATTCCAGAACTGGTCGTTCGCAATCGTGTCCCGTGTAACCTATTTAAAATAATGGTCAAAATATTTTCTGCAGGATGATCAAGAAAGTCAAGTAAGTAGCATTGCTTGATGAGATATACTATTTTATTTCGTTAAAAATGTTGAAATTTCAATCTAATGCAATTATATTGTAAATGTTGACTTTGTTTAGTCGTATTCTTTGACTTATTATATAAGACGTTTATGTCATTTATCAAACATGCAAATTATTTAAAATATTTATTTTAACACTTTGGGGACGGCTGTCCACCTCAGTGGACAAACATACTCTGTTAGGCACAGACTATTTTATAAACAATGACTCAGTTTGCATCGAAAAGTTGAATAAATTACATATAGCAGTGATAAACTATATTGTATTTTGAAAATAATTTTAAGTTATTTTAGTAGTATTTTCAGCCTTTTTCTTTGCTATATGGTCTTTTTTTAATATTTAAAACGACCGAGGGCTTTTAAATATGGCAAAACGACTGGTAAATTTTGTGATTTAAGCAGTAGTGAAGATGAGTTTCAAATAGACATTCATACAGGCAAATTTTACGAAATTACTATTCGCACCGATGATAGTGATGAATGTGATGATGATATTATCCAACCAACAAAAAGAAGAAGTTCGATAAAATAAATGAAGAGCGGGAAGACATTAGCGAATGTGCCGATTCTCTTTCAATAATCGAGTTTGACATACATCAACAAACACCCCGACTACAAATACCAAGCAATATAAGACATCCAATAGATTATTTTACCTTATATTTTACAAATGAATTATTAGCCAATATAATAGAAAAATAAACCATTATGGCAGCAAAAAAATTACCAAATATACTGACTAATCAGGATATTCTAAATGCGAGTGAAAGAAAAAGGGATTGTATTGCCTGTTCTAAGAGAAAAGCACCAGGAGGGAGGCATTTTATTGTAAAACATGTCAAAAGCAACCAGCTATGCATTTTGGAAATTGTTTTGACCGTCAACATTCTTTATAAAATGATCAAAAATAAATTATTATTATAAATGTATGTCCTTCAATGACCACAAATTTTTATCAAACAAATTGCATAACTTACACAATGAAATCAAGTTTATAGCCGGTAAAATAGATTGTTTTGAAATCGGTGCCGTCCCGAAAGTGTTAAATTCGAAACCAAAACGCTCATTAAAGCTTATTTAATAAGGAGATTTTTATGTTTTCCTTTACGAATTAAATATTCGTCGAAAAAAAATATTAAGAAATCAATGTCTCGAAGAATTTATATTTGATAATATAATATTACGTATTTATGAAAAATCAAGAAGTTTAATACCATACAATTTAGTTGCCAGATTTTTGGCTGAGTGGAGAGCGATTTAAACTTCAACAACGTGTCAATATAGCATGTCAAGGATATTCAGTACGCACGTATAGGCATATCGAACTAATATATAAACTCACAATTTGGTCACATCACGTAAAATTGTTAGATTGCGCACTTCAAATAGGTTATTTTTGCTTTTTTTCATTTTTTTAACTTCCTGAAGAAGTTTATGCAGAAAAGTGAAAAATTGTTTGTCCACGCTTTAGCCCGCAATTCTGAATCGATTTCGAAAATTCAAAAATAATTCGAAAGATATTGGTTGGGAATCTACCTGATTAGTTTTTGGTAAATATCGGCCGGGCCGTTTTCTTGTAGTAAAGTGTTAAAAAAATTTTTTCGACGATTTTCATGATTTTTTGATAGATAGATGATTTGATTTTGATTTGATAGATAGATGGCCTTCTAAATCATACCAAAATATTACGGCCCTACAATAAGTCGTTTAATTTTAAAAATTCGTCAAAGTTAGCAAAAATTGGTATCATTTTTTTGGCATTTGTCAAAATTAGAAGTTTCATCCACGTTTGCTCAAAAACGCCTGAACCGAATTCAGAAATTTCAAAACTATTTGATGTATCTCGATCAGAGTTTTCGTTTGTCAGTTTTATGCAACGACCTGCCGAGCCGTTTCTTTGTAATTTGAAAAAAAATTAAACGTTTTGTCCACATTCAAGCTCGTACTACCGAATCGATTTTAAAAAATCCAAAACTGTTCAAAATATATTAGTTGGGAATGAAACTGATTAGTTGAAAATCTACCGAGCCGTTTTCTTGTAAATAGTTGTTAAAAAAATTTAAGCCGATTTTTATGGAACTTTTTTTGGTGATAAATATCATGGTCTTATAGTAATTGGTAATACTGAAGTATTACGGCCTTACGACAAGTAGTTTAAAAATTCATCAAAGTTTGAGAAAATGAGTCGTTTTTTTGACGTTTGTTAAAATTAAAATTAGACAATTTACTTGGTATAACGATGGAGTACTTAGACTTAATGAACATACTAAAAAATTAAAGTTCTACGGAAACTGGTTCAAATTAATGTGTAGTGGTTATCACATCTGTTTTACACGCAGAAGGCCGCCGGTTCGATCCCGGCCAAATATTTAAAACAAATTAAATTGCATTTTTTTTAAATATATTGTAGAATTCGATATTCAATTCATTTATTTGATTTGCTTTAGTACGCATATAGTATACTAAATATATTTAGTATACTATATGCTTACCAAAGCAAATTAAATAGAATGAATTGAATATCAAATTCTACAACATATTTAAAAAAAATGCAATTTAATTTGTTTCAAACAAAACTAGAATGTTTTATGAAAAACTTACCAATGTAGCATGCGCAAGCATAATCTGCAAGTTTATCTACACAAACACCTCCATTTTGACAAGGATTAGAAGCGCATTCATCTATTTCCAATTCGCAAAGACTTCCTTGCCATCCTAAAATAAAAATTTATAATAAAGAATCAAACTGACTTTCAAAATACATAAAACTCAAAAGTAATTGAAAGTTCATCAACCTTCAATGGCAAATTCATAGTTCAGGTATTATTATATGCCAATTTTCTTAAGTTAACTATTTTAAATAATTATGAGTGTTATTTCATTTTGATTCTAAATTACTATTTTATTACAAAACATTTGTGAAACATAATGTGATTGATACCTGGTTGACAATCGCAATAAAATTCTAATCCTGGACCTTCAACACATTTTCCTCCATTGCGACATCTTGCAGAGCCTGTAGCATTACAAACGGCCACATCTTGTTCGCAACGGGTTCCCAAAAATCCAGGGCCGCATTGACATCGGTAACCATTTGCAAAATCCCAGCAAGTCCCATTATTTAAGCAAGGATTCGATAAACATTCGTCAATGTTTACGGAACAGTCATCACCTGGCATTGGATATTTTACGATTTTATTTAGTTATAAGAAAGAGAAACTACGGGAAGTTAATTAAAAACTAGTTGATTTGCAAGATTGCAAGTTACATGAACTTCCCAATATGTGTAAATAATCGACTAAATCCATGATAAATAAATTAATTTATGTGTGATTAAAAGTATTCAGAGTGGACATAACTCGGAGTATTTTCCAAAAGCAAATTTTCCCAAATCAATAATTTTTATAATTGAACTAGTTTCCGAAGGACTTTAATGGTATAGTAATTAAGACTGAGTGCTCTATCGTTAAACCAAGTAAATCGTCTAATTTTTTTTAACAAACGTCAGAAAAACTACTCATTTTCTCAAACTTCGATGAATTTTTTAAATTAAACTACTAGTCATAAGCCCGTAATATTTCTGTAAGTTCTATAAGATCATGATATATATCGCCAAAAAAGTTCCATAAAAATCGGCTTAATTTTGTTTCAACGGTTAATTACAAAAAATGGGTCGGTAGATTTTCACCTAAAACTAATCAGTATCATTCCAAATTAATATCTTTCGAACAGTTTTGGTTTTTTTAAAATCGATTCGGTAGTATGAGCTTAAATGTGGACGAAAAGTTTAACACTTCTTCCCAAGTTACAAAAAAACGGCAGATCGGCATTGAGATACATCAAATGGTTTTCAAATTTCTGAAATCGGTTCAAGCGCTTTGGAGCAAACGTCGATCAAAAATCTAATTTTGACAAATGCCAAAAAACGATTCTAATTTTTGCAAACTTTGACGAATTTTTAAAGTTAAACGAGTTGTCGTAGGGCCGTAATATTTCAGTATTCGTCAAAAAAAAATTCATACAAATCGTCGAAAAAAATTTTTTTAACACTTTAATACAAGAAAACGGCCCGGCCGATCTGTACCAAAAACTAATTAGCACGATTCCCAACCAATTTAAGTGAAAATAAATACATCATATAACAATTTTGAATGATGTTTACTAGTAATATGATAATACTCGTGATGCACACATTTATTAATATGTCAACCATTATAGTTTGGGCGTATCGGACTTCCGTTGCATTTGTACGGATTTACACCTAGGTCGCGCGTAAAGAAGTTTTACTTCAAAAAAACTAATTTTTAATAGTACCGAAAATGTTCGATAACTTCAGTCCCATGATAAAAACTTTTTGAATTAATAAATGTAAAATTTTGACTTTCATTGTTACACTCGTTTGTAAATTTACATGTTTTTAAATTAAAATTATAAGTTTTGAATTGAGACCTGTGAATCCATCGGGGCACGAGCAATTGTATTGAGCAACTCCGTCGATACACGTACCACCATTTTTGCATGGTGAAGACCAACACTCATCCCAATTGGTTTGGCACTGCACTCCCGTATATCCATCGATGCAGAAACAAGCATACGTACTGCAAATGATAATAAAATACTTGTTTTTAAATTTTTTGAATGATGAAAAACCTTTTGTGTAGGCGTAGAAAAATTTTTTTATTTTTTTATTTATTTATTGTTTGAACAGCAATCAGAACTCCTATATGTTCTATAAGCTGTTGGTTAACGACTTAATACTACTTTATTTCATGAGAGGCAATCCATCGATTAACCATTCTCTTATGTGTGGGATATTTTTGATATTAGCTCTTACGTCTAATAGTTGCATATGATTGGATGTTGCAGCTATGTCCACGAAGGACGATTTCCACTTGGAATTATATTGTGGTCTATAATCCCAAGTGGAAATTTGACATCAAAGCTGCCTGATGTCGGGCTACGGCGGTAGCGGGAATCAATCCAGCGAACCTGGAACTAGTTGGTGCTAGCCCACGCGTAGAAAAATGATTTTCTAAAAAAAAAATTTCTAAAAACCTTGCAAAATTAATGAAGATGCAAATTATTTGCAACAATAAAATTATTGAAATATTTCATATATTATATAATTTTTACTCTTCTCAAAATATCTATTTCAATTAAAAATTTATTTGTTTGCAACTGTGAATGCAGTTGTTATTATATCCTGACTTATTTATAATAACATAAATACCAAACTGTATAAAAGACAGTAGTGCAATTATGCTATTTATTATGCAATTTATTTTCGTTGATTAATTGGTATAAGAAAGTTTCGAACAATGAAAATTAATATAAGGTTTTCAATGATAAATATTAAAAAAATATGCTATAAAAATTTTAAGTTTTATTTAAATAATTATTTATGATTTGATAAAAAATAATAAAAAACATGTAATATTTTTTTTTAAAGTTTCATTTGAATAATTACTTATGATTTGCAATAAAACTATGATACAACCAAAATTTATATCACATGTAACTACTTTAATGATTTTTAAATACATTTGTCTATTATGAATTTTATCACTGACCTGTTTAAATCATCTAGACAAACTCCGAATAAACATGGATTGCTAAGACAAGCAAATCCAGCCCTTGTTCCAGGAGCCCAATACAAACATGATATTGCAATTACTAGGGCCGCAATAGGTACCGCGCTACCGGGCGCCCGCATCTTTTGAACTATTGAACCGCATTACCCGCACTGAAAAAAATAGTAAAACAAACTGATTACTAAAAAACTAAACTTGTAATAGAAGTACATTATAGTATTTTTTTTTAATTCTTTGAATCGCAATAAAAACTATTCTCAGTGTTCTATTGTGATGTTTTTTCCTGCGTTCTAGCCTTATTCGAAGGTAACTCAATTTGTTTGTTGTTTGGGTTTGTTTCTCATCGCGCTAAATTGTTTTTACAGTTTTCAGCGAGATGTGATTTCCGGGAAAGCTATTTTCACATGTAAAAAGTTTTGTGTCTACTTCTTTAAAACCGGATTACTGTCGTTTGATATCAGGTTGTAGGTAGCGAGAGATTTGAACTTGACATCTTGTGGAGTCACTTACGACGAATGCTTCATAACACAATGAACTTATATTTTTTTATTAATTAAATTATTATTAAAATTAAATATTATTAAAATAAATAGACACATACTTTACTCAATTTTAACTACAATTTTCTATTAAAATGCATACTTTTATGACTTTCTTGTATTAAAATCCTATTTTACAAACTTTATTACTGTAATGCAATGCAATAATCATACAGGGTAGAGCGGGGATCAAAGGCCCGCGGGTATAAAGGTTCACTCACGATATCTCAAAAAACAGTAAAGTTAAGAATTTTTTAACAATATTTGAAATTAGACGAAGAAAGATGTATAACCAGTCATCGCCTTGATTTTTACGACGATGCTATCGGGAGGAAAACGTTAATGTATAGAAATCCATAACAAAAGTATTTTCCTTCGTTGTTATTTGTTTTGGTTGCGACCACTGTTGCTTTTGGACGAGACCTTAATATAATACCCAAGTATATGTTTTTTAATTGTTTTATAAGTTGTATTGTTGATTTTTAGTAAGATTCAACAACGTTTTTATACAATCTCTATAAAACTTTGAACCTGGTTGGGGTAACATAGACCAATTGTACATTTACCCTGGTCAAGGTAATTTACTGTGTTATCTCTGTAAAAAAAAATTCGCCCATGACGTTTATACTTTGCATTGATTGAACAATGTAGTTATTATTTTGTAAAAATCCTTTAAAATTAAAATAAAACATTGGACCTATTTGTCTTCTGGCCGTCACAATTTTTCCGCATATGGGGTAAAATGGACCAGGTTACAAATTAAAAAAAACACGAAACACATTTCTTTCACGAATTTTTACTGAGCATAGTCAGATAGTTATTTGTTTAATATGTATTATTTGTTGTGATTAATTGATTTGCTTGTAAACAATACAATTGCTCAAAGTCAAATTGGGACTTTGTGCCGGGCCCTACCGTAATAAATTACAGAAAAAATCATTTTTTGTATTTAAGAAAAATCGAAACTAATAGTAAAGTTAAATACCTTCAGTACGATTCTTCTTAACATTTCACAGAAAATATGTGTTTGGGAAAAAATGAATCAATTTTTGTTTTCATTCTGACCAATTGGAATTTCTCTACTTATTTGAATCAAGTGTTATCAGGATATTTGTGTATATAAACTAAAAGCAAATTGGACCATATTATTATTACATGTATATATATATATATATATATATATATATATATATATATAAATATGCAATAATATTGAATGCATGAGCGATTCGTAACGAGCTATGAAACCAATTACTTATGGTTATGTTCAGCTATAACCGTAAACTTGGAATGTCCAGCAAACTGTAACAGCATTAGCATCATATCCGGATTTAAAAATTTATCTATAGAGTGATACTTGTATTTCATACTTTTTTAATTTTATCGTACAGCAAGTAACGGATGATTTAAGCTAGCAGAAATGAGCCATATCATATCAGCAAATAAATGAGATTTGACAATGTAACAATGGTAGATTGAAGTTTTGGTTTTACTTTTCATAAGTCATTTGCTAGATTCAATACCGACCTCGAACAACTTGATATCAAGAAGTGGTGTTTTAACTTAAAAATATAAATTTAATGTATACTGTGAAAACAGCCCTTATCGTCCATTGCTGCATCGAAATAAAAATTCTGTATTAATATTAGAAAATTTAAATTGGGTTGTCTTCTAAAATATCTACATAGTTTTTAAGTATTAACATAACAGCTCATGAGACTCTTAAGTTCCTATTGTTGCTGAAATAAAGTAAACATATATGATATTATATAAATCTAATGAATGAATGATGTATGGAACTTATTTTTCAATTTGTTAACCAATATACCAATACAGTGAAAATAGCCCTAATACCGTGAAAATAGCCCTAATCCGGTATTACTGCATCCCAGGGCATATATGCGGTGAAGTATACTTCACCCTGTTGCAGAAATTGTACTAATAATTTATAATAATTCATCTTATAGCACAACAGCTTATAGGACTCGTAGTTCCGATTTGCTGTTCAAAATAATAAAAAATATAAAAATAAAATTGCTTATTTATTCTTTAATTTTAATATAAAATTTATCATTTAACTTGAAAACGTTAAATATAATTAATATAAAACTACAAAATGAAATTTTCTTGTTTTTAGTATTCGCTCTCAAAATCATTTTTCTCTCAGAACGCGTTTGATAAAATTAAATCCAACTCTACCACTATTTGCAAATTTTACTGCGATTATCACACCTTTAGATGCCGTCTTAACCAAGGACGTCTGATCGTCAGAAAGTGATTTTCTGTCCTCTAGCTCTCAATCTTGAACTAGAAAGAACAACTTGACACAGTGACGAGGCATGCAGATAATTATTATATTTTTTTACTATTTTAAACTTTCAGAAGGAGAAGTTTATGATTTTGTCAGAAAATCTGCTCTTTTGATATCTTCTAACGTTTCAAGCCATTCTGAATCTATATCAGAATTGGAAACTGTATTCGTGTGTGAGTCGATTTTCGACCTTTCTGATTTAAACAAAAGAGCCGTGCCAAAAATTGCAAAAAAAGTGTGTAACTTTTCGTACACGTTTTTGCAAAAAATCTTGAAATAAATTTGACAATTTGTATGAAGAACAATGTTGAACAATTTTGTTTTACGTTTTTAAAGAAATTTAACGTGGCGATGGTCCATATGAATATCCTAAATTATCATAGTCCAGCGAAAAGTCGTTGAATTATAAAAAAATTTGAGGTTTGGAATAATGGGCCAAACATGTATTTGTGCGATGTAAATAATATAACTAGTGGTGCATGGCATTATGCCTTAAGCAAATTGCTGAAACTTTTCGTACCGTAATGAAATATTCGATGCATATTAAATTTCTTCAAATAGATTATTATAAATACTGTAACTTTCATTATTCGTATTTTATATAAAACATATAAGAGCATATAAATTGCACGACGACGTTTATATAGGTTTACATAAATAGTAAATAAAGAATAAAGAAAACTTAATGCAGCTGAGTTAAAATTAAGGATCATGACTCATATTTCTAAAAATCACAAAATGAATTGCTTAGTTAAAATTGTTTATGAAGAATATAAGTGAGCTTCAGAATATTAGTTAAAATTAAAATTTAAAATCGAATTATTTTCAATAACCTTCCTCAAAAACTGATCGTT